AAGTCTCTAGCTCTCATAGATCTTCTTGGATCGATGCGTTTATACATACGGACAGACAGACAGACAAACGGGCAGACGGACGGATCAAGAACATAAATACTCTATGAGCCTGGAGTTGCTTCCTTCCTGCCTGCCCGTTACATACATATGCTCAAATACATTATACCCTTTTCAATTTCAATGTGCTCAGGACATAATAAACAATATTTCCTTAAATTTCTTTTGTTTAGAGATATTTGGGTTTGGCAACAAGCCTTAAAGCTAAAGTTTTAAAAGAAACACCTGAAGCTGGTCATATTCAAAAAGCAACGAGCAAATGTGTTAATTATTTAATACATCTCATAAACCTAGAGTCAGTAAATGTTTAACTTAGATATGACATAACTTTTCCCGTCAATGATTAACCTTAACTGTTTGCTTGCAAACAAATTTAGGCCTAGGCTGAAGAACGACCCATTTAGATTAAAGTAAAATTTGTGGAAATATTAATCCAAATTTCTTAAATTTCATTCACAATTTGCCACGGCCATAAGCCAATGAGTTAAAAGCCACTTCGATCCTGTCCAAAACCATCTACAGGGTATCTAAGCTCAATTCGTTGCGTGAATAACGAGTGTCGTTCGCATGTCATATGCCAAACATGTCGTGTCTGTGTGGCATTGGACATTGTTGGGTTGTATCTGTATCTGTATATGTATCTGTATCTGTATCTGTATCTGCATATGCAAATGTATCTGCTGCCGCATATCTAGCTACATATTTGTCCGTATCCGTATCTGTTTGGCAAGTGAATTCGCGCTAGCCAAAAATTGAACAACAGTTGATCCTATTTCAAATGTCAAGTTAGCCCGACGCAGCGCAACATTCTCTACCTCTCTCGCTCTCTCTCTCCCTCTCTCTCTCTTTCGCTGTCTCTCTGGCCAACTCTATCTGCGTCTCCGACTACTTGACTGTCACATCTCAATAACCCTCGAGTGGTTTTCAATTGTCTCCAAAAATAAACGCATTTGCATCCCCCCCAGCGACGAAGCTGACGCACACACACACACTCACACTCACACAGCCCAATCCCAATCGCAATCCCATTTGAAATGTTAATTTTTAACGCTTTGTAAATTTTTCTAATATTTCATAAGGCCAAAAGAAATATACAAAAAAAATGCGCTGCACGAAGCGAAACCTTTTCCTTTGCTTCCGTCGCATTGCCAACCACTTGAGCACAAAAGTCACCCACTCGCCGCCACCCGCCCGGCGCCCCGCTGACGTCTCCAGTCTCGTGACATCATCCAATTCAGAAAACTTAAAAGTAAATAGATCCCCAGAGATGAGAGCAGCCATTTCACAGCACAACGTTGTCGTTGTCATTGTGGTTGCCATGCTCCATGTGCACCACACCATTGCGTGTATGTGTGTGTGGGTGTGTGTGTGTGTGTGTGTGTGAGTGTGTACGTGTGTCTCAAGTGACAACGCTGCCAAGGATCATCTCATAATGTGGCAAGCATTTAGCTGTCTGACTGACGCACAGACCCACTGACGGATTGCCCGACTCGCCCGCGCTCTCACTCGCTCGTATCCTTTTTGTTATTGCTTCCTCTTGTTTTTTGTTGGTTGTTTTTTTTTGTTTTTTCGTTTCCTCGACAGGCCGAGTCGACTCGCAACTCCCCTCTAGAGGCGGCACTTGACATTTTCACAGTCTTCACGCATTCATGTCAATTTTGCGGTTTCGGTTTCACGCAATGCTCTGCCCGCTGCTCCAGCTCTGGATCCGAATCCGGCAACTCCATTTGGATTTTTCATATTCTGAATTCTGAATTCGGCATTTGGAGCCCCGGCAAATGTTCTTCTATTCATATGGCATTTGAGTGCCTGTCTATCTAATGAGCATCATGTGTGTCTGTCCGTGTGTCGTTGTGTGTGAGTGTGTGTGTGTCGTCCATGCTTGTAATCTGTACATAAGTGGCCTCAGATGCCTATCCATAACGATGATGTTATTGCCGAAGCCGAAGCCGATGCTGATGCTGATGCTGATGCTCATGAAGATGCTGATGATGTGGTTGCCAGCGGACCAGTCAAATAAATCCACCAAAGCAACCCGAAAGTGGTCTGCGACGAATGTCACGCCCTCTACGAAGACAAGCGCATATAGAAATTTTTACATTTTATAGAGCACGAGCTACTTTTCGGTCATATAACATATCTGATATGCCCAAAATATGCCTGAACAACGAGCATTTGATTTGAATTTAGTTTTGACTTAGCAAAAGATGCTTCTCAAAATGTAATTTAATAACTTTAACTTTATTTTTACTGCCACTCAGTAAAACATTTTGACTCGAATTGAAAATAAAAAGCAATTCCAAGAGATTATTGAATGTGAAATATTATATGATAAAATATTTATACGATTTCTCATTTAGCTGTCTCTATGTCCTAGACCTAGAGCTGGGCCTAAAACCAGCACAATTATAACTCTTAGAAAAATAAGAAAATTGTTTACCAAGTCTTACAAAAAATATGGAAGAGATTGTTGAATTTTCCTAGGTTATCTTGTTCAAAGTAAATCAAAATAGGATTTAATGTGGTCCTAATTGGTATTTGCCATTATACAAAATAATAAAATATTATAATCTATATAATATATTAATAATTAATCTCTGTATATAAAACTGTTTGAGGTGACTGACTGACTGACTGACTGATTGGTGATCAAAGCACAGCCCAAACCGTAAGAGCTAGGAGGCTGGAATGTTCACTCTGGTTACCTTTTGTGATGGAGGTGCACGTTAAGACGGGGTTTTGGGAAATTCCACCCGCAAGTGCGGAAAAATAGCGAAAAACTTATGTATGAACATTTTTTGTTTTCCATTAGATCGGTCTCAAACTCCTTTTTAAAGATCTTTGCTAAAATTCATTCGAGGTGTGCTTTGCACTTTTTGGAAACTCCATCCCTCCTTGGTGGAAATGGGAGTCAAGGATTTGGTGGGTGACGTTTCGCCCTCAAATTTATTTCCAAAGATCTGTACGAAAAATCTTTTCGCAGGATCCAAACTTCTTCGGTAGAAATGCGATTTAAAGATGTTTTAAACGAAGTTGTAAGTTGTTTCCGATTTGCTTCAAACTTATTTTCAAGGTTCTACATAAAAACCTAATGAATACGTGTTTCAGCGGTTTGGCTAGTTCCACCGGCAACAGTGGTAAATTGGCGGAAAACGTTTTTGTGAAAGTTGTTTGTTTACCGTTCGATCAGTGTCAAAATTGAGAAAATATATTTCATACGTGCTACGGGCAAGGCCGGGCTATACCCGCTTGTAATTATAATTAAAATTATTAAAAAACTTTGTCATCAAATCGAAATGGGGCTCAGCAATGCGCCTTTTCATTGAGCTGCACGTTTCATTGAACTTCTTTTAAGAAAGAGAGAGCGAGGGTGAAAATGAAAGTAAGGGGGAGAGAGACAGAGAGAGTGAAAGATAATGTGAGAGGAAGAATAAGAATTACATTTAATCTCAACGCATAGTTGTTTAATTTGACTGAATTCCAAACATGGCTTCAATTAAAAGTCGTAAGGAAGTTAATTTCATTTAAAAAAATGTTTCTCATGCCAACTGCCTACAGAGAGGCAGGGTTAATCGGAGCATCAAGAGCTGCTTCCAAATAAAGCTCCACATGAGGAAGAGCCACATCCTGTGGGATTATTAGCCCGAATTTGAATTTGGTGAAATTTTAATGTTTTCTGAAGATCTAAAGATCTAAACCTTAACTACTTGTGGCTTATTTAAAAAGCCACGTGCTAAATTTTATGATTCGAAAACTATCCAAAATGATTTAGTCTTGGATTAGGATATGATCACTTGATCATGATAAACCGAGTCCTTCAAGTTTTATGCAACCAAAGCTTGCATTGAATGTAAACAAATTTATGGCTCTAAAGTATCTGAGAATTTCTATAGCCATAAAACTGGATAGTTCCAATAACTCTCTAAAAGCATCTATTCCACTCTTATTGCTGATTTGCCCCCCGTTTGAAAAAAAGAATGTTAAAAAAACACAGGACATTTTGTTTTGTATGTTTCTTGAATTTTGCTTGGTTTTATTGTTCAAATGAAATATCATTTATTAAATACACAATGAATCTCTTAGGGAGCACATTTTTCGATTTTCGATAGAGCAATAACATTTCCATTTCCACTGAACATCCATGGATATATTAGCAACAACTAGATGTATCCATGTGCGTACAGAATTTGTTTAGTAAACTATATAAATATAGGGAGAGGGGCGTGACGAGGGATGGATGGGGGGAGCACTAAATACACAGGGGCATAAACACACGAGATATGTTGTTGTTGTTGTTGTTGTTGTTGTTTTTTTTTTTACTTTTCTTGCTTTTTTTGTTTTCGTATATATAGTAGTATTTATATTCCTATATAAAGTTAGTTACAAATACAAATAGTTATTGGCTACGAAAAAAAATTGTTGCACTTAAAATTACATAATATATTATTAATATACTTTGCTTTTTAGTTTAATATTTATAAATATCAATACTTCGTTGTACGCCGTACAGTGGGCCAAAAGAGTTGCGCATTCAAGGAGCTAACACACACACACACACACACACACACACATACACTCACACAGACAGACACTATTTAGCGAGCTCTCCTGGTCACACTGGGTGCACTTGCACTGAGGAACGGATTGAATACTATACACTTAGATGTCGTATTATCTTAGAATACAGGAAAAAAAAAACGTTATTTTGTAAAAAAAAATATTTATATATACGATTTATATATAACACAAGTACGAGTAGAAAAGCTAAGTTCCAGCATGATAACATAATCATATAAACCAGATCGGGTTCTGTTTGTCAACGTCTATTTCCATTTCAATGCAGATCCAGATTCAGTTACAGTTAATCTATATAGGCCATTTCATGGCTGCGTGCCCAACAAAAAAAAAAAAAAAAAAAAAAAAAAAGGGGGGGAGGGTTGCGAGGGGGTTGCTTTTTAATTGAGAACATTTGCTAATTGATTGAGCTCTGCCGAGGCGAGGAGCGCGGGCCACTCTTAGACGGAGATGGCGGCATTGGTGGGCGGCATGTCGCTGTATTGGGCCGGCTGCGGCTTCGTCGGCGCCGTTGGCGGCGCCTTCAGGTTGCTGCTGCTGAGCAGCATGGAGCGGTAGACCTCGGAGAGCAGATTCCAGGGCGCGGCGGCTGTGGGCGACTGGGCGGCGCTGCTGGTGGCGCTGGCGGTGGCGGCGGCGGCCGCTGCGGCGGCAAACATTTGCGTCTGGAGCAGCCGGATGTGATGCTGCTCCTCCAGATCCATGCCGAAGAGCAGGCCGGGCGGCGACGGCGCCAGCGCGTGACCAGAAGCCGCGGCAACCGAACTGGAGCCAGCGATGGAGACGGAGCTGGGCATGGGGTTGGGCTGCGGTTGGCGGTTGGGGCTGATTGCGGCTGCGGCTGCGGCGTCGGGCGAGCAGCTGCTCGGCAGGTGTTTACGGGCCTGCGGCGTGGACAGGTCGTGGGCGTGCTCGTCGTGGTGGGCGCGCCGCTCGTGACTGTGCGTATCGGCGCTGTCGCTGTCCAGCTCCAGTTCCATTTTGATGGCTGTCGTCGACTCCTGGGAGCTGGAAGCGCAGCTGTCGTGACGCCGGCGCTTGCCCAGCAGCCGTTCCATGGAAAAGCCGCTGCCGCCGCAGGGGCTGGGCGAGCGCTTGCTGCGGCGCTCGCATAGCTCCTGTTTTGGCTCTGGAGCTGATCTTGGCTGTGGCTCCGGTTCCGGCTCCGGCTGGCGTTCGCGTCGCTTGTGCAGACTAAAGTCCAGGGGCTGCTCCGTGCGCTCCTCCTCATCGAAGCTGGTGTGACTGTTGGTATTGCTGGCCAGGCTCAGGCTGCAGTGCAGCTCTGCATCCGCCTCGTTGTCCGCATCCGTATCCGCATCTGCATCCGCCTCGCTGTGGCAGTCCTGACTAGCTGGACTTGAGCTGTTGGCATGCATGTCCACATATACGTAGACGCCCTCATCATCGGCATCCGCATCCGCTTCGGCATCCGCATCGGCATCGGCATCGATATCCGCCTCCACGTCCGCATCAATGTCCGCATTTGCCTCGGCAAAGAGCCGCTCGTGCTGCGTGCGGCCCGCGAGCAGGCCAAGATTATGCAGACCCGACTGCCCGCCAAACATAACATGAGCCGCAGCAGCCGCCGGCACGTAGCCCACAGCGGGATGATGGGGATGATGTGGATGGTGTGCATGATGTGGATGAGGTGGTGGCAGCAGCCCCGGGAAGGCTGCAGCTGCGGCAGCGGCCGCCGGGAACACGGGAAACTGTTGAGCGGTGCGTCCGTCGTGTGGCGAAATCTTGCGGCGAATATGCGGCGAATGGAGCTTCGGATTCGGATTGGCGCTGTGCCGATTCCGCGAACGCCTCGAGCTGAACACCATGTTGCAGCCATCTACGGTGCACTTGTGCATCTCGCGCAGATGCACCGCCGAGAAGTGTATCTTGAGCGCGCCCTTGTCGCAGAAGGTCTTGAAGCAAATCGAGCACTGGACACGCTTCTTGCCCGTCGCCGGATTGATGAACTGACCCGCCAAATTGATCGGCGGCGAGCCCCAGCGCTTTGGCTTCGCATGGCTCGCAAGTGAACCGGAGCTGCCCTTGCCGCTGCCGCAGCCAGCTCCAGCTCCAGTTCCAGTTCCTGTTGCACCCGCTGTGCCCGGCGAGCTGGCTGGCGATTTGGCGGTCTGGCCCATGTGCGAATGCGGATGGGCATGCGGGTGTCCCAGCAGATAAACGGGCGGCATGAACGGATTCATAATGTGCTCCATTGTCTTGGGCAAGTGCTGCAAAAGAAATGGTAAAAGTCGCTGATTAGAAAATTGTCTGCATGTATGTGTGTGTGTGTGAAATACTTAAGAATTCTTAAGATACAAATGTAACTGATGTAGCTAAACAGCTAAAAAAAAATCTCTGAGATACTTAGCTAAGATACAATTGCAACTAATGTTAACTTGGATATACAAAATGTATCTGTTAGATACAATATCTATGAGCTAAACAACTTGATTATTAAGTATCTGCAAGATGCGGCATGCATCTGATATCTGATGGATACAAAAAAATACTAACATACAAATGCAACTTTGGGTTTTGATTAAAAGTTACATAAGAAACGTTCAGCTACAAAAAGTAACTACAAGATACAAGCTGCATCTGCGAGATGTTAAAAAGTTTAGTTACAAATGCAGCTCCGAGTAATTAAAAGTTTTAATATCAACAAATCCGATTTTTGTCTGTTTCTTTTTGCCGTCGGCCGGCCGAATGCACTCGACTGATATGTAAGAGATAATTGTTGTGCTGATTTTGTCCTCAATCGGCCCTCAGCGCTGGTTGTCAACCGGCAAACTGGCAAACTGGAAAGTCCAAAGTGTCGAGGATGTCAATCAAAGCGCTCGGCAAGTCAGTCGCTCGAGCAGGGCTGCGAGAAGGGCGGACGCGTCGGCTTAGCGGGGGAGTTCAAGGCAATGGCAACGGCAGTGGCAACAGCTAAATCCTAATCAGAAACTAATACAGGGGGGGCTAGGGGGTTGGTGGCAGGGTAGGTGGAGGGCAGTTGCTGTGACAGCTGCAAAAGTTACGCAACTTTTTGCGACTTTTGTGTTATCATCGCTGGCCGTTTACCCCCCTCATTGCACCCCCTTACCCTCACTGGTCCCTGCATGACAGCAGCATCCAATGCCAATTACAGATTTCAAATTTGCTGCGCAATTAAATCGTGGGCACAACGAGAACGCACAGTGGTACCAGAAGTGTCAAAGCAGGAATGTATCTCAAAGTACAAATGTTATTCGAGCAGCTCAATTAAAGAAGAGGCATTGCATAATTGCAAAAGGGTAAACATTTTAATTGCAAATCCAACATATACTTATCGGGAAGCGGGCGGCTTTTTGTGCCCTTGACGCACTGTACTGGACCGGACCGGACCGGACCGGAGCGGACCGGACCGGAGTTGTATTGGCCGTCAGCAGCCGCTGCCCCGCCGTCTTTGGAGCATTTGCTCATTTGCTTGGCCAAAATCTTTTACAGCTTTTTCGGCTGTCCGGGGCACCCATTAAAACCGCAAAGACGACGACAACATGCGGTGATCGGCAGCTAGTCCAAGTCGTTTTTTATTGTTAATGTTGTTGCCGTGTTTCACCGCCTGCCGCCTGCCGCCTGCCGGCTGCCGCTCGCTACTGTAATTGCGGCTGACGAGCGGCGCAGAATTGATGGCCAAAGTGTGGCGGGAGGGGCGGGGACAACGATGGGGACAATTGTTAACGCGACGATGGGGATCGCGGTCGCGTCATGTTGAGCGATCAACGCTGTTAGCCGACTCTGGCTGCCCCTCTCAGTCGCTATCATTTGGAATCAATCTCAAATGTTCAACAAACACATGCGCCAATGTCGGCAGCACACATAAAGACACACACAAATACATATACATATATACCCATTCAAACTAACGTGTGCAGCCCAGCTGAGCTTGGATGTACTTCTTGTGCCCATATAATCCAATAAAGTATACAGATAAAGCTTGGACACATGAAAGAATGCATGAAATATGTGCGAAAATGCAACTGTTTGCTTAATATGCAATTCTTTAGCAGTTCGTAGGACAAGAACTAAGTCAGTTCAAAGGTGTCTATGAGATATAACAATTTCCATAAGATACAAATGTATCTTTGCTATTAAATAATATATTTAAGTTAAAATTACAAAAACGGAACTCCAAACGCAAGTCAAAGTATAGATACAAAAGTATCTACGAGATACAAAAGTATTTATAAGATACAAATGTATCTTTGATAGACAAGAATATATTATAGTTAAAGTTATCAAAACCGGAACACATTCAAAATACTCTCTTAAAATCCTTGATCACACGAAAAGTATCTTCGAGATACAAAAGTATCTTCATGATACAAAAGTATCAACCACATCGAAATTGACTGCACAGGATCACATCTGATCTGCTAAAAGGCAGCTCAAAGCTAAAGCTCAGCCAGCGCACAGTGGGACAAGACATTTACATAGAACGGATTCGATTGCAAGTTCTGCTGTCTGCTCAAAATCGGATTAAAACCTTGTTTTTAAAGCGGAGAGTCATTAGAAACGATAGCCACTATAACAACAAAAAGACATGTGTAATGCCACTGTGTGTGTGTGTGTGTGTGTGTGTGTATTTGTGGTAATTATTTTTGTCAAACGCTTTAAATATCTTAACAACGACAACAACAAAAAACCGATCACAAATTTTGATGGCCAGCATCGAATGTGTTGTTGTTGTTGTGTGTTTTTTATTATCGGCATGTTGAAAGTCACAAATTCCAAGAGCTGACGAGAGACGACAACAACTCCTGTTTATAGCTGTTGTTGTTGTTGTTGTTGCTTGTTGGTTGTTGTTGTTGGTTGTTGTTGCTTGTTGGTTGTTGCTGTTAGTACACATTATAATAAGCAGCGGAGGAGCAATGAACGGGAAAGAGACGATGATGACGATGATGACAATGATGATGATGATGATAATGATGCTGGTCTCTGGACCCTGGTCTAGTGCTGAGCTGTGCGCGTATTTGTATCTCAGTTTGTATCTCAAGCAACATTTAAAAAGACAAAAATCTTAATTACAAATTTCAGATTTCTTATTTTTTTTTTTTTTTGGCTTTATCTTGGCCCGAAATTTGTTAAACCAATTTTGGCCACTCGCCGACGGTAAAAAGCAGAAAATAAAAAAAAAACTAAATAAATGAATGTACTTACAATTTTAGCTGCTAGTGAAATTCTCCACAAAAAAGGTGTTTGTTGTCTTTTTTGTTTTGTTTGAATTTGTTTGTTTGCTTTGTTTTTTCTTTATTTAATAATTTGTCACCAAAAAAATTTCACATATTTTGTGTATTTAGTTTATTTTGTTGTGGCTCGCATTAAAAATGTTTTCTTTTATTTTTATTGAATATTATTTTTATAATTGTTGCCCGAACGCGACGGCGACGGCAAAGTCTCACGAGGCACACACAAAACACAGAGACGAAGGCTACGAAATAACGAAATAACAGTTATTGTTGTGACGGTGACGGTGACGGTGACTGTGACTGCGACAGAAGCAGAAGCAGCGGCAGCAAAAGAGATCCACTCCTTCGAAAGTCGTGGGTGACACTGATTGTCGTGCGGCTGCGAGCAGAAAAAATGTAACGACGACGACGACGACAAATGCGACAGCGACAACAGCAGCAGAGACAGCGGCAGCACTCAGCACACAGCACACAGCACATACACACGTACACACGCATACGTAGCGGCAGCGGGGTGGGTGACACTTTGCTCTCGCAGCGACGAGCGACGGCAAAGAGCAGCGAGGCAGCAGCAGCAGCAGCAGACACGCAGCAGCGGACAAGTTCAACGTAACTGCCCCACAAACGTCTACCTGAAACGCAGCCAGCCAACGAGCGAGTGAGCGCTGTGTCAGTGTGCGTGCGTCTGTGTGCATGTGTGCCTGTGTTTGTGTGTGTGGCTGTGAGAGCAAGAGTATGAGAGCAGAGACGTCGCTTGGGCTATTGGAATTGGCCTGCAGTTGTATAGTTGTAGTTGCTATTGTAGGTGTATTCGTGTTTGTTGCCGCGCGGTCTTTGTGATGCCTTTTGCTGCTGCTGCTGCCGCTGCCGCTGCCGCCGCTGCTGCTGCTGCTGCTGCTGCTGCTGCTGCTCTTGCTGCTTGTTTAGGCTGTGTCACATTGTCGTCGTTGGGTCATCACACATACACACATGCATGCACTATACAGCGCAAGCGAATGCGATAGCGCTATTGGCAGTTGCCTCTCTCTTTCTCGGTCGCACCAATGCCGCTTGCGCAAAGCAGTCGGTTAAGCAGTGCAGAGCAAAGAGAAACAAGGCTCTCTTCGGTTTTTATGTTGATTGCATTTGCAATAAGCCTAAAATATTTACCGGTCAAAAACTTAAAGCCCATTTATGACAGCATAAAATTTTAAAGTATGGCTTAAGAGCATTGCAGGCACTGTCATCGCTTCTGGGTGGGGGCTGGCGGGCGCATAGGCGTAGGCGTATACGTAGGCGACTCAAATTTCTCACGCACACAGACAGAGGCATACGCATGGTCAACAGCTTGCTGTATGTGCGTTTAGGGAAAAAATAATTCGTGGGACATCGACCACGACCACAGTCAAATGGCTGCGTACAGTGCTGTGCGTGTGTGTGTGTGTGTGTGCGAGCGGCGCACAAAATATTTTTGGCTATTGCCAGCTCGCTCGCACATTGTCGTCTGAGTGGACGAGTGGTTGACATGCGACGTATTTGTGCTTGCTGACCGAGCGAGCAAGCGGCCAAAGCAGCAGCAGCACCACACACACACATTCGCACACACACACACACACACACACACCTGCCCGCTCACGCACCTTTTGCTCACTCTCCCGCTCTGCTGCTCTCCCGCAGCTGGCCACAGCGTCACACAGTGTCATTTGCTCGCCAACCAAAGAGCGCCAGTGCGCGCTCTCTCATGGGGCTAGCCGTGTCGGTATGCGTGTGCGTGTGTGTGTGTGTGTCGCCCCATTAGCCAGCCCGCGTGTGACAGAGCTAAAACGAGTTGGCCCCATCATTTGTTCGAATGAAATGGCAATGGCCAGCCAATTCGTCGTTGTCGCTGCTTATTGTCGCTGTTGCTGCCGCCGGCAGCGACGCCGACCGCAGCAGCGCTGCTCAGCGTGCATGTGCCGTAGCTTACTTGAAATTGCCGTCGTTTTGTCTTCGTCTCATTATGGGCCATGGCAATGTTGTTGTTGTCGCCTTCGCCTTCTCGTCGTCGTCGTCGTCGTCGTCGTCGACGTCACACGTTGCTTTTTGCTCTTTTTCTTATTTTTTTAAATTTTTGTCATTTGATTTCTTGTCCACTGCGCTCTAGCGACGGGGCGGTGGCAGCGACTGCGACTGAGAGCTGAGAGTGTGTGTCCGTCTCTTTTTAGTAAACACCAATGAGTGCCCTGCCCGTGCGATTGTGTGTGTGTGTTTGTGTGTGTGTGTGTGTCTCTCGATGTGTTCGTGAGCACACCTCTCGCTTGCTGCAAACGGCGACGGCAGCAACGACTTTGCTTTACTGGCTATGCGATTGCGCCACAAATTTATATAGCTGTATGTGTGCACGTCTGTATGTCTGTGTGAGTGTGTGTGTGTGTGTGTGTGTGTGTTTGTGTTTGTATGTGTCACACAAAACGACACTTTAACATGGGGGCGATTTTTCCTGTCTCCTGCACCAATAGTATTTGAGCACCGCTCTGGTGACAAAGGCACCCGACCCCGACCACAGTTCATGCCACGAAGCGAATTGCTGCTATTGCTGCTGCTGCTGCTGCTACTGCTGCTGCTGCTGTTTCTTCTTCTGCTTCTTTATCTTATGATTTGCTTTCATTTTGTTTTTACCGTTTTTTTATGCTGCCTATGTAAAGCAAACGTTCTACATGCATTTACATATGTGTGCGTATATTCAACTGCTGGAATATGTTATGTGTGTGTGTGTGAGTGTGTATTTGTGTGCTGACTAAAGGGATATATAAACATTGTCCCTTTGATAAATATGGTATATACATGCATATATATACATATGTATATATATATACAATATATATGTATTATCTGGCTTATGTAACATCTGAAAACTATATGCAGCTGGCCAACTGATTTGGCAGCCAAGTGTTCTGCTGCTGCTGCTGCCGTTAATTGCCTTCAGCTTTAGGCACAAGCAACGCATGACTTTAACTTGAATTAATTTAAGTACATATTAACTAGAAAATACATGCTAATATGGGTTTCATTTCAGTCTTGTTCTTGTTAAAGCTAACCTTGAATAGTTCAGTGAAAGTTCTCTCTTCAAAGCACATCAAAGGCTTCCGTTCCTTGTCCTGGCTTAGCAGAAGTCTGCTTTAAGGATATGCCGAAAATAAGACTTAAAGCCAAACATTTTATTGTAAAGATTGTTGCAAGATTTGTGTTTGCTTTTTTTTTTTTTTGAGTCCCAAATACGTATCAAAATCCGTGGAAAATATTTAATAGCGTCAGGAGAGCCATATGGACTTTGGCCAGCCAAAGGACATGTCCGCAGAAGGCATCTTGATATTAGAAGATCTTTCCTTGTAATCAATGGAGTAATTATAGTTCTGTAATACAACAAAATAACGTATATTTCTGTTTTCTATAAGCGAATTAAACCAATAACTTGTTATTCTTCTTTTTTTAGTATATATGATAAATATATCAAATATTCCTTGTGCAAAAGACTTTTCATTTAAATTTGAATAACGCATAACGCAGATCGAAATTGAAGCTCTTAAATATTGAAAAAATAGCTCAAATCAAGACATAAAACGTAAACCAAATATATTTCAGATCCAAATACAAATTGCAACCTAACTGATGAAGAGTATTTATTTATTAAGGATCGTTTATTTAGGCTAGTTAGTAGGTTAGTTTAGCTAAAACCACAAGCTAACCTAGGAGATATATAGCCCCAGATGTTGAGGCTATGTTCAGGATTTAGGTTAATTTGCATAAATATGTCCACGTTTATTGTAACTAATACAATAGTTTAGACTAGAGTAAAGTATTTAACTTAAAACAAGTAAGAGGTTCTAGTCGGGAGCTCCCGACTAGGGGATACCCTGAACCCTCTTCTTCCAACATCAAATGCATATATATATTCTATTTTAGAAGCTATATGTCTAGTTTGGTGACTCTAGCTCTTATTATTTACCAAAATTGTGCAAAAAACAGGATATCGATATCGATTTTTATCGATTGCTTGGAAACGGAGCAAGTTATCGATTATCGGAAACAAACTCGATCAGCGCGGAAGCTAGGAGCACCTACATCTTTCAAGTCCCTAGCTCTTATAGGCTCTAAGATCCTTGCGTTCATACAAACGGACGGACGGACGGACGGACAGACAGACGGACATGGCTAGATCGACTCGGCTATTGCTGCTGATCAAGAATATATATACTTTATGGGGTCGGAGATGCTTCCTTCTGCCTGTTACATACATTTGGCTTTCGCACAAATACAATATACCCTTATACCCATTTTTAGTGGGTTCAGGGTATAAAAAGTGTATCTCGAGCCTGCTTTATGTACTATAAGTATTTTGTATACACACTTTTGTACATAATTAACAATTGTATTTGCAGCCAAACAACATTCCGTTGATTTTTATTGCGCAATTTAGTTATGAAATACATGTGGCTAAATTGTACAAAATCGAATTATGCATTTAGCATACATTGAGAAAAAAAAAAAACAAAAAATACTTCACACATTTCACAGTACATAAATAAAGCACTCATGGGTTTACTTTTACTCGTACTTGTTCTTAACTTGAATGCGCTCCGATCAAATTTATATACTTTTAAATTTATTGCCTGTTTCATTGGCAGCGAAACACAGACGAATAATTTGATCATTTTATGGAAATTTAATGTAGAGCAGCAAAAATAAAAACTATAATTAACAAAAAATATGCAACGTTAACAGAAAGTGCAAACAAATTTGGAGATATATTTCTCTTTTTTGCTAGAAAACTAAAAGTATCTTTAATAATTATGGGATATTAAAGATATTCGATTAAAGAATTCTTATCAAAAAAAGAAAACTATCTTTAACTTTGTTATTCACTCTTGCTTTCCTTTGTCTCTCATAAAATTTTGTTGTTTTGTTGAACTCTTTTTCTTATGTAAAACTAAATTGAATTCCTTTTCATTTTGGCAGTTTATCTCAACAAATCAAAAACGTATAAAACTTGGACTTAACAATACAGGTAAG